TTTAGGCAATTATACTGGACAAAGTTTCCCTTCATCGTCCAACAGGCTGCTGCCTCAAGTCTGACCCAGACAGTGGATTATTAGTGCCTTGTTTCCGCGAGCTGATGAATGGGGTGATTTTGCGGAGTGATCGTGGTGGAACGGGCAGTAGGAGAAAGATAATAGCTTTTCTCCTGCATATGATCCATCCTACTGTCCACTCCCTGTGGGTCCAAGGACTTGAGTCACACCCACATCCTGTACCCTGCCTCAACTGTCTAAACCACACCCAGCTTAGTCAGGATTCCCCAGGAATGAGTAGGCCTTGTGTTTGAAGTAGTCTACCACATTCTGTTTACATTCTGATTGTGCACAAAAGTAGTAAGTAGTATGCAGTATGTGACCAACATGAATTTCTCTGGTAAAGCAAAGATCAGTGAATGACCAAATGTTCTAGTGCGCAGAGCTATGTTTGTGATATACTGCATCGAAAACTGCAACACAGTCATTTCAGGAGGAGTAACCACTGACTTTACTGCCAGCTTTGCTGATTTAATAGCCCTGAATTCAGGCTTATACGGATACATAAATTAAATAAAAATACATTATTTGTCCTGCTACTGCACTCAGTGCAGCACTGAAGCCACATTGTTTTTCTCAGCTGGTCTTGAGGTGGCTTTGCTTACTTCGTCTATTTAAAAGTTAACTTACCGCATAGATAATGTGGTTAGTACAGTAACCTGGTCTCAGGAAGACAATCCACACAGCATCAGCTTTTTAAGCTGCTTATTATTCAGTCGAACCAGATCATATTACCAACTACAAAAGTAATATTTAAATGACCACCTTTTAGCAAACATAGTTGCGTTTGGAAACCAAACAGGTTTACCACACCAAAATATCTCCACACATGTTGCCAAAGAGCGGAAAAGAAGCTATCAATGATTGCTAAGCAGTGATTGGAGGGCTAAGGAAAATGGAGTGGGACTTGAGATGGATCTAGTCACGCCCCTTCCTGGTAGTACTATACATGACTTTTGTCATACACTGGGTATTGTAGTATGATGAGTAGGATGCAGAATACTGTATATACTGCAGTATGCAGTATACAGTACACATTATGCTATTTTGAACACAGCCCATGTTTCACTTAGTGAAAGATCGCAGACTTCAACTCTAAACTTAATCCCTCAACACCTTTGAGCTCTTATGCATTTTCATAGGAAAGCTGCATTTTGAAAGAAGCATTATTTTTTTCTCATGGAGATCAGCCAAACAAAACCAAATGTTCATATTTTCCATCATTTTGGAACCATTTTGCCCTCCACAATAAGACAAGTACAAAGCCACACATTCTGTTGCTAAAAGAAAGAATTAAAAGCAAGAACATCAGCTAAGGGAATGTAAAACGCCAGGAAAGGAAAATAAAAGTCTCCCATCCCTGGACTCCATTACAGTGTGATTGATTCTGCCCTGAACAGGTAGCAGTGAAACTAATGGAAAAAACGTTGAAAGCACTGAGAGGGAAATGAAGGGAGAAATGAAATCAGGGGCAGATTGATATAGAAAGTGCTGTTCCTGTGTGTTAATTTTGACAAAGGAGAAATAGACAGACGGGGAGACACAGTGAGAAAAACCAGTCTAGGAGAGCTAAGTGTGTAAACACAAAGCAAGCGCCTCTAAATGAACCAAGAGAAAGGCAAAACATAAATATACTGGCATTGTAACATCTTAAAGGGCCCATATCAAGGGGTCAATTTGTGACATTTGTGTGGGTTTATATATCAAAAACAAATGATTAATTTGTACATGACTGTTTTCCATAATTCTTTATCCCTTACAGTTAAACAGGGTGTTTTTGCTGTTGTTTGTGCCAGTTGTAGTGTTGTGTAATTGTAGTTCTAATAGTCGTAGTAGGCCTCAAACCCCAAAACTGAAGTTTCTTGAAGAACCTAATAGTTTAAAAATGGTTCCTTGAAGCACTCCAAGAGATTCCAGACCATGCTGGATAAAGTGGCTCCTCAATGAATCTTGTAAATTAAATTGTAAATTATAAGTTCCTCATAGAACTACCCTTTTCAGAAGGGTTCCTGGAAGGTCCCTAAAGCGTTCCACCAGTGAAGCAAGGTGAGAAACCCCAAAGGGTGCATTGAGTATCCTTTCATTTTTACAGTGTAAATAGGTGGAGCTGCTACTGGCTGAACAAGAAAATATATTATTATACAATAAAATCCATTGGTCTTCATGACATCTCAAAAGGAAAGAAATCAAAACATGTTTTTACATCTTGTTTCCATTTACAGACTGTAAGGTCAGGGAAGTGAGCAGTATGTTTTGAAACTTTAACAATATTGACAAACTGCATCCAACTCTTATTTCAGAAAAAGCTACAATTTTTTTTTCCATGATAAGCACCCTTTAAGAAACAAGAATGAACACCTAACTTCTGAAGTGCAAGCTGAAGTGTTGTGTTAGAACACTCGGCTTGAGCAAGAACCCACCAACCAACCCACCCACACACAAAGCATATCATTCTACCAAATTAGGGTTTGGTAGTAATTTAGTGGTTTCTACAAGTTAGTGAAATTGCGGTTTTAAAACAGATCTAAGGTAACATAAAGAGTTCAAAATCCAAAACACAACATTAAACAGCCTGAGCTGAGAAAGCCTCATTATCCACTGTGGAGGAGCAAGAGGTAAAAGTTGTGCGTTTGATACAGAGACGGCTCCAGGAAAACATACATGGTCACACACAGGCTTTGCTGCTTTGCGGCTGTCTGAGAATGTGAGTGTGTCAGTGCGAGCTGCTTACAGGATAGCAAGACTAGATGCAGGTCGAATCATGTACGGAAAAAATCCCTCCCAATTTGGATGCTGGAAATAAACCCTGGCTTGATGGCTCAACCTGAGCTCCATGTTGGGTCATCTAGGCCTGCCACAAGACACACATACAGAGTTATACAGGGCTTCCTCTCTTTTTTAGAAGATCATTTTCCATGAGTTCCATACAGGACGACTTCTCACGGAAGTATATATTAGACTTGCATCATCGGACATCCTTAACATTAAATGCAATTATTTTGGAGGTCCTAGTTTCTGCACTAGGCAATATTTTCTTTAATGCGGATGGAATATATTTTGATTGACAAGATTTACAAAAATGGAGGCACACCGGATTTTTCAAAAGAGAAATCAAAAAGGCAAGAAAGCTGCCCTTATGCTGTCTTAGTTCAGCCTGGACATATTTGTGGAGAGGTGTGAACTGTTTTCACAGCAGGAGGTTCTTACTTCTCATTGCTCACTAGCAACTCAACACAGTCACATTTCACACACAGAGCCACCTAGTTAATCTCAGGGGTAGGAAGTAACAAAGTATAAGCATTTCATTACTGTAATTAAGTAAAATTGTTTCAGTATTAGTTCATTGGCTGCTTAATTCTGCCACTTAATACTTTTTTACTTTTACTCACATTTCAAAAGAAAAATCTGTATATGTCTGCACATTTCTACAGGTCACCTGTGATTGGCTGCTTCCACAGCTAGATTTTTTTTAATATAACAAAGTACTTGTACTTATACTTGAGCAAGGAACTTGTGTACTTGTGCCACCTCTGGTTAATCTGATAACAGTGTTAGTGGAATCTTTTTTTTTTTTACCATAATAACGTAAGACTAGAAGGCCTGTAGAAAGACGTTAACAACACAGGCTGCATCCAGAAACCCTTACAGTTGCTGCTTTTTCCTATGATCTTCCTTCTCTCCTCTGGGACCCGGAAGCCAATTTCGTGACGGCATTTTAACAGCTGGATGAATACCAGAGTAGACAAGAGAAGCCGCTCCAAACACCTGCTGAAATGGCTCCCAACGGAGGATACACAAGTGTACACTACCCAGGAAGGCTTTTTACAGATTTTAAAGTGACATCACTGCAAAAATATGTACCAGCCTAACTTTCTTGGATTGCTCCATGGATACTTTACAATCTGTGTTTTCTTGTGCTTATATATTTTACATGCTATGTATTTTATACTTGGTGTAAAATAAAATGGGGAAAAAAGTACAAAACCACACAAATGTGAACCGGCTGGCACTGTGTAGCAGCTGTGATTGGATGCAGGAGTATTAGGGGCAAACAATGAGATAGGCCCAGATCATTAGTAGCCGAGATCAAATTTAATGATCTTGAAAGAAAACAAGTCCTATTTCCCTAATTTCTACTCATTTTCTCCATTCCTCATGCTCCTTTCCTCTCCTTGATTCCTCCATGTTCTTCTACGGTAGGAGAGGGGCAGTTCAGGAACGGTGGCACACAGCCTTACTTAAAGTCTTACTTAAAGTCACACTCACTCCACAAAGCGGTCTTGCTTCCTAGCTTCCGAGTGACAACACAGTTTAAGCTCAAATAAACAAAGATTACTCATCTCTGCCCTCTAAATCTGTTATTAATAAACATCAAGTAAACGTTACCCACCAATGACCTTTGAAGCATGATTGAGAAGTTAGAACTTGTTATTGTAAGAACCATAAAGTGTCAAAATAATTGTGTTTTCTGTTTTTCTTTCATGTACATGCATTTGTCTCAACCCAACAGATGAAAATGCACCCAATTCACATTACGTTAGTTGTGATGTAAACATATTGTGAAAGCTAACAAATGTGGAAAAAATTTGTGGCAAGCTTAAATAATTGTGACAGGTAGATCACAAATTTGACACGAAAGTTCAAAACCAAAGTGCCAATATTTCAGATTTTCACTCATGTTTTGGCTCTAGGCCAAGCCTTTTTTTTAAGACCTCAATATGCTTTGCCTGATAATTAACACATGTATACAGACTGCCTTTGCTGAGTGACAGGACCTATATAGTGACCGTCGCTTTTCCAGGACGCCAACATTTGTGAGATATTTTAGCAGTTTTTTTCATTTTCCTGGTGTTTTGCATGACTAGAAAAGTTGTGTCCAATGTTTTCCAGGACATGTGGGAACGCTGTTTATAACAAACACTAAATACAGATGTAGTAAGCATTTATTTATGAATACAAAGATAAACATTGTGTCTATATCAGACAGCAACAGAACTTAAATATCTTCTCTCCACTCCTCTTACTCCTTTACACAATATTCTGTACATCATTTGCACAATGTACCACATCAAAGTAGTGCTATTATGATATCATTCCATTACATCACAATAGAAGTGCAATAGCATAAGGCGTGTATAATGCATGCACAGGATATTCATGAACGTTCAATTAACACTTAAGGAACACCGTCAAAGCATCTATGTGGCTGCTCTCTGTATGCAGTGTGAATAAGTTTAAGCAACTCCATCCTGTCTTGGAGTGACCAAACTGAGGAGTCTCTGAAATGTAGGAAAGTGCAGAAAAGAACAGTGCCTGCATGCACTCTGTGAAAAGGTTTTTCTTCCTGTAAAAAGTAGAAAAAGAGGTGGTACAGCGTGACACTGGGTTGTTATGAAGCTGAGGTCTGCCTCGTGTCATAAGTAAGCACCTGTTGCTGGATGGATAACTGACCCCCTGCCATTTGACGTAGGCCACCCAGTTCCACCATGGCTTCAGCTGTTAGGAAATACTGTGTAGTGAGAATTTCTCAGACACAACCTGTCAACAGTTAGAAACAGACATAAGCATACATCACGCACCTCTTTCTCTCACAGTTAGGCTTTGGTTAAATATTACTTTCATTCATATACATATATTTTACACAGTAGTGCTTTAGATGCTGGTCATAGAAGTAAGACAGTCATCCGTGAACTCTAAACTGGCCATGCGTAAAGTGGGCCCCGGTCCATCCACTCCCTGCACACACTCTCTCTGCTTCATGCACAGCATTTTGGGAAGACTTCATTCTGCCAGCAGATTGTCCGAGGCGGCGTACGGCACGGTGGTGTACCTCATTCATCATTATCTGCAGAGACAGAAAGATGGATAGAAGAATGAAGAAACAGAGAGAGAGAATAAAGAGAGAAGATCTGCATGTTAAGAGCAGAAGGTTCTCGTCATAGTAAAGTTTATACTGTGGTTCTGTTGAAAGCCAGGTAATTCTGTAATTCTGAATACAAGTTATTCCTGTATAATAAACCACATTCATTGTTTATAAACAGTGCAATCTAAGCATCTACTTACATCAGAATAATGTAAAATGACTACATCTAAAAAATCTTTAATCCTCAAAAATTGCAGAGTAGATCATAAATTAGATGTAAACCAAATTGATTTTACAAGCCCCTGATTGCAGCCCTAAAGTTTGTATTACACACCTTCCTGCACCTGTATCTTACACTGTACTGCGTCTGCAGAGTGACTTTTTTCTCTAGCACACTCTTGCTCTCTGTGATGTAAGCATGGTTGCATCTAGAAACTTTTGCTACTGCTCCTGTCCTCCCTCTCCTACCCTGAAACGACACAGCAGTTGAGGAGAGGAGCAAGAGGAATTAAGCGAGCAAGCAGTAATCGAGGAAACGAGACAGCTGATCTGTTTCTGTGGCTTGAAAGCACGCCTCGGAATTCCTGGTAGTCAATCGATTGCTACACAGGCCCAGCCCAATTTACATTTGTGCGTGGTCTTCTCTTTCATGTTTTTAATTTTATTTTGTTTCCTCTCATATTTGGAGTGGCAGCATGATAGCATTACAAAATTCACAACATGTAGTTTCAGCATCACAGAGAAGACGAGCTGTATTGGTCGGAAGACGCAGTAACTTTTAGGGTTTCTGGATGCAGTGTGGACATACCAGAGATGGGGACTTGAGTCAGCAACTTGGACTTGAGTCACACTTGTGTCTGAAATGAATTTTGAGTGAGGTTGGTGTGACTCACGCTCAGCTGACTTGTGACTCGACTGGGACTGAAGACTTGCACTGATTTTTCAAAAATGTATTTTAATTCCATCATGAAGATGTAAAAAGTCATGCAGAGTAGTTTAATGTGAAATGCTCTGTTTTAGAGAAACCTATCGAGATTTGAAAGGTAGAATTAAGTTGAATTGAGAGGAGAGGATAGGAACATGGGCTGTATTAATTTCTTATCTTATTATTATTAATTATCTTATCTTACAGCATCTTATCTCAAGTTAGGAAATCCTAACTTACTCGATCAAAATAGACAAATCAACTGTCATATCTGTTATCTAGCAACCACACATACGTGCACAGCTGAAATGTAAACACGCAATAAAAATAATCAAGTTAGTAGGCCAGACAGCTAGCTACTGTTACTAATGTAAATAGGTCAAACAGAACTAAAGCGCAATAAACTTGAAATTAATAATAGTGACAGCACTTCGTACTGTTTACCAGAGCTTTGTTGCTCCCAGTTTCAGTTTCACTTTCCAAAACGATTTAGCCGATGGCGCTAACGTTTTTCCACCTAATAAACAGCAACACATTCAGCTCTGTCTTCTCATTATTCACCACCATCACAGTGATAATTTATCTAACAAGCTTTCATCAACATTAACACACTAAGGTAATAAAATGGGACAGTGGAGATTGTCTGTAATAATGCACCAGATGTCTAAATTATTCAATTATTCAAAAAAGTTCCCTCTCAGAAACTACATTAATTAAATGAAATCTTTATGAATACTTTCCTTGATGGCTGACATTGCTTTATGTTCTTTTTGAGATAAAATTTTGGCTTAAAAGTAATTTTTAAAAATCCATTCACAGAAGAGAGGCGCATCCAGAGAGAAATTATGCCCAAAGAAAACATTACATCAGCATCACATACAAAATCTCAGAGGTCGTGCAGGTTCACTGGTGGTTTTGAATAGTAAATAAAATAGCCATATTGCGGTTGTAGACACTGACCCCTGGTTCCTATGACCACCACTGTAAAGAAAACCGGAGTCGGTAAGTTTCTCTAGAACAGAGCATTTATCATCAGAACACTATGAACAACTTTTTTTCTCTTTTTTTTTTAATCACAAAGGAGTAATTACGCAGAAATTTTGAAAAATCACCTTTAAGATTCGCAAAACAGCACAAACAAATGACTGAATTAGGACTGCTAATTAATGCAGGTAACAGATACAACCTTTTTTTATCTGATCTGTGATTCTGCCTTTCAGTTTTATTATGGTATTATGGTCATGTGCAGTGTTGGGGTTTGACAGCACTGCAATAGTGAATTTACATTCCTGCCTTGGCAACTGTAGTTACTGCTGCAATGTAAAATGGTTCCTTTTTCTGCTTTTTCTTGTCAGCACTCTTTTTATTCTCTTTGGATAAGTGAACTATCTGGAATAAATGACAGGTGCTTCACTGATGTCCCAGTCCAAATCCTTCTTTTGGAAAAGGCAAAGCATTAAGTTTAACTTGCTCCGGCACTGGAGCTTGTTATGGGAAAAGCTCTCCTGAGCTGTTGCGACCATGGCCTGGAGGCAGAAATCAGGAAATCAGCTCGCTGAGGGGCTCGGTTCGATACGGCCTCAAATAATAAACCTTTCATTATAGAAAAACCTTTACTCTACAGGACAGATGAAGCGCTACATGCAGTTAATGTGGTGTTTAAAGAAAAGAGGCAAAACTAGTATTAGCTAATTAGCTAGTCTTTTCAGTAAGTTACAGATCTCATCTTTTTTAGATTTACTAAAACTTCAGCAGGATCAGCTATTACGCTAACAAACATTATCTTTACAAACCAGCCATTTGAAGTTGTTTTGCCCCTGTTTTTAAGCATTTTATTTAAATGTTACCACTGTAGCACTTAAGTTCAGTCCTTCAGATGGAAGGTTTTTCTTTGATGAAATGATACTTAAAGCCATGTCAAACCGGACAGGTGCAGCTAATAAAACTGATATTCTATAATGAAGACTTCAGATTTGCATCAAGTGACTTTTGAATATATTTGGTGTGTACCTTCTTGGTATGCTCCATCTGCCATCACTAAGTGGAGGATCTTGGGATACAGGTGCTGGTGTTCAGTTCCCAGAATGCTTTGCACGATGCTGGAGCCCATAGCAATGTTCTCATCTTCGTCTTCATGGATGGCCTACCGAAACAGACAAGACACTGACTATGAACTGGTCTTTGGTACTTTTAAGATTCATGCTTTACTAACACAAACCAGTTGATACAATGAAACTACAGTGATCCAACCATTTAAAGAGGGAAATTTCCACATTTTCTGAACATACCACAGTGCAGGCAATGCTAGGGAAACAAGAAACTATAGAAGGTAGAAGAAATAAATAAATGGACAGAGACGTTTTTAAAAAGCTAGTTCAGTCTACTTACAGATGGATATTGATAAAAGAAATTAGCAATGTTGTGCTATTTGCAACCTGCTGTACAAGCCTCATTTATTTTCAGTAATACTCCCATATTTCATTTAAAATATATTTAAAGCTGCACTATGTAAGTTTTGGAGACCTCTCTGGTGGGAATGTGTAATTGCACACAATGCAGAGAAGTACATTTTGTAATATGCTTTGGACTTCTTCTCTAAGTGGATAAATCTAATGATTGTGAGCCCACTGAAAGAGAATTCAAAGAGAACTGGGTGGAGATGAGCAACATTGAGCAGGACCTTCTTTTTGAGACTGTCTGAGTGATGCTAATACAAAAAAAGTATTCGCATGTTTCACCCCTCCGTCTGACTAATGTTACTTCTTTCAATTTCAACAAAAAAATCTTACATTGTGCAAACTTTTAAACTGCTGTCACCCAACTCATGTAACAACTTCCTCTGAGCGATCCTCTGGGCTCTTACAGGAAATATTTACAGAAAGCAAATACACAAAATAGGGATCAATAGGGAAAATACCAAGAATAAGAAATGCTCATTTATTTTCTTTAGTGAAGTTGATCTTAAATCAGCATCATTATTGTCTTATTTTCCATATTGTTTATTAGTTCTCTTCCTAAAAAAAGGTATTTTGTCATTTTCAGGTTAAATGATTTTGGATACACTTTGGTTTTGCAATACTGACCATGATGTTTTGTGTTCAGATTTGCGAGATCAGCCTGTTTTGCTGTTCTATAGTTAAACAAAGGGTGACTCATGCTAGGTTTCCCAATGGAACAGTCATCTAAGGTGTGCCCTACCACTGGGAGATTGCAAGTTCGAATCACGGCAACGCTTTGAACCAAGAATGGAAATAAGTGCTGTCACTTTCATCAGATTCATTGGTTTGACTGATTTCTTGTCAGTATTAGTATGTTTAAGACCTTGACATCAATCATGGATGTTTGATTTGCACATTCAGACCTTGATCTTGTTGTAGGCTTGGATGAAGTGGTCGAAGCCCATTGCCTGCTCCAAATGAAAACGGAGCTCTTCTAAACGACTGAAGATACTGTCTTGCTGCTCCGAATCACTTTCCTCCTCTTCCTCGCTATCATCTGCACCCATTTGCAAGGAAGAAAAGCACAAGCACTTAAACAGGGCCTTTTAATGTATGAGTTGAAGTTAGGACAAATACTGCCATTTGTCACTCTAGAGTCAATAACTAACATCAACTCAGCAACATGTGTAGGAGGTAGAAGCACTTGAAAAGTAAACAATATAGCAGTTATATAACAAAACCTCATATTTACAAAATGAAAAACATTTCAACAAGTTAATGTAACAATATTTTGTTACAGGTCATTTGGCACCACTTATATACTGCAACAATCAGATTTCAAGATGACATTCACACAAGGTGCTACTGGCATATGGCGTAAACAACAAACAAACCAAAGAGAGTTATGAGGTTTGGATGTGACAACGACCATATGTTCTTTAGTGCATCATAATAGTTTTTTTTCCTACATTTTCACAGAGATAATGAGAAACATGACCCATGCGTCAACCTACCTGAGTGCCATTCCTCATTGAGTTGCCTCTCACTGCTCTGCTCTTCATCCTCTGCTACATTAAGTCCATTACTCATCAGCCCTCCTTCCTCTTCCTCATGACTGGCATCAGCACTATCATCACCACCATCCTCCTCTTCAGCTGTGACACCATTCAAGCCTTCCACTGTTGGACTAGCCTTGCATTGCACAGAACGTTCATCTTCATCAGGAGGGCTGCCATTAGAGCCACCATCATCGTCGTCTTCATCATCGTCACTGCGCTGCTGCTGCAGCAGTCTCTCCATAGAGGCTCTAAGCTCTCTCAGATCCTCATCTTCATATACACTGAGAGAAAGAAGAAAATGAAAGACAAATTAAACCCAATTTAAATTATTACCTGTTCAGCTGTCTTTGCACAAAAGTGTATGCTTCTTACTCCTCTGTTTCAGACTGTTCATCCTCTTTGTCCTCCAGATCCTCTATCTCCAGATTGTTGTCGTGGGTGGCAGCACCATCGGGTTCTGTACAGGCGCTGAAGAGTTTACCGAGATCCGGCAGAGAGCATGTTCTCAGCATCTAACATCAGAACACAGACATACACATACAGTTAGAGAGAACCCCATTAGAGAGGCAAACACATCCTATAGTAAAGTGTGATTTTCCTACATTGTAAAAACACAGTACTGTGCAAAACTCAGAGAACAAAAACATAAATTCACAGAACACTTTATTGTAATTTTCTATTACTGGGTAAGGCCTCCCTTTGCTCTCAAGACTTCGGGCCTCAGTTCTTTGCGGCATGGATTCCACAAGATGTTGGAAACATTCCTTTGAAACTCTGGTTCATGTTGACGTGACTGCATCTGGCAGATTTTTTAGGTACACTTTCATGCTGTGAATCTCATGTTCTACCACATCCCAAAGGTAAACTGTAAAGGCCTCTGAAGAACACTAAACTCAATGTCATGTTCACAAAACCAATTTGAGACCACTTTTGTTTTGTGACATGGTGCATTATCATGCCGGAAGTAGCGATTAGAAGATCTAATGGCTAAACTCCACGGACTGTTGTGCATGAAAATCCCAGGAAATCAGCAGTTATAGAAATACTCAAAGCAGCCCATCTGGCGCAACAATCATGCCACGGTCAAAATCACTGAGATCACATTTTTGATGAGAACATTACCTGAAGCTGCTGGCCCATATCTGCATGATTTTATGCACTTCACTGCTGCGACATGATTGGCTGATTAGATAACTGCATGAATGAGGAGGTGTACAGGTGCTCCTAATAAAGTGCTTGGTGAGTGTCTAAGATAGTCCACTTGCATTAAGAAAGGGGAAATAACTGAAAAAAAAACAGTATGTTCAAAAATTATTAAAAAAAGATACTTTTGTTTCAGATTTGAAAAAATCATGTTTCTGTCCATCCTTCCACTGTGAGAAGACACTCAACACTACGTTGAAAGGATGTGTAGTGGCCAAGAAGCTGTTACTGAGAAAAGGCAAAAAGACAAAAAAGCAGAACATCATCAGCAAATCGAACAAAGAAGCTACTGGCGTTCTCAGAACAATCTGACCACCTTAACATCAGTCAATGTGTTTAGGATCACTTGGATCTCTAGAAGCATCTAAATGCAACAAATGTCTGAGGTGTAGAGAATTAATGGGTGGATGCACTAAATACTGAAAAAGATAGTATGTCATCTTGTTTTCTGTTACTGTGCTTTAGATTTTTTGTCCCAACATTAAAAATAAATGACTTCCATGTAAAAGTGATTTTTGGCACGAATTAAAAAAAATGGTGGTCTATGACTCATGCACAGTACTGTAACTTAAGTGCATATAACAGAGTTTTCTGTAGAGCAACTTCAGATTATTCACCACCAAAATGTAGTAGGTCTTTGCATTTACCCAAACTATCTGGAAACAGCCATAGCTTAATTTGGATTAAATCCAGATTGTTCACTGTGGAGTACATTTGTGAACAATCTTGAGTGTAGCAGATGTTAGCATGTCTGAGGCTTGTTGAGGGTGTGGGAGTGAGTGACTGACTGAGGGTGTGTGCGCGCATATGTCCATGAACACGAGGTTCACCACAGTTGTGTGCGAGATTAGCGAACAGGGACTCAGGCTGGCGGACAGGCCTCTGGTATGTTGACACATCAGGGATGTGGAAGAATCAAATTAATAACGCTTCACTCAAGAGTCCAATGCACAACACAGCTTCTAACATAACTCTGCCCCAGAGCACGCACACAACACACACACACACACACACCTCTACACACTCCACACCACCCTAGAGTGTGCAACAAAGCCCCGCAGCACGTACATATAGCAGACCTTTTCACATAGTGCTGCTCTAGAACACACAGAACGGTCACGCAGTGAGCTTGAAACATTCTCACATGGAACACGTACTGTCTAACAAAATCCGTCACTTCATCTTCCAATGTTACTCATACAATCTCTTCATCGCTCCCTTTGTACTCTTTATTGAAAGAGGCATTCCAGCCTAAACTAGAGTTTAATATTTTGTCATATTACATAGTGTTCTGTATCTCAGCATTGTATCCCTTAAATTCATGATTTTATACTGTTTTCAATTATCATTTTACTCTCACTACAATACTCAGCATGCATTACGCAAATACAGCATTCAACACCTTCAAGATGCATTATCAGAATGGCTTCTTCCTAGTCTTTAAACCAGAAAATATCACCCTATAAACTACTGCAAAAACACTGAGTAAAGATGTTGACAAAAGATGTAGTGATTGTTACATTTTTCATTTTAGCTGGATTGTCCCATTAAGTATGACTAAACTTACAATAAATACCATGAATATAGTAAGTAAAGTATGTATCTGATCCCAAGTGCATGTGTGACTATGTTATTTTCTAGTTTCCATTATGAAGTAAAAAAACTCAAACATACACAATTTTGCCCTATTAAACTGTACAAATCAAACTTAAAATGGCTGTTCTAGCCATTTGTAGTAATTTTAAAGATAACAGTATGCGATAGTTAGAAACTACATAAGCAAGTCTACTTGAGATTACTTAATTAACTTAATTGGAATGTGACCTGATAGCTACATTTGCCTCATATCTCCAGTTCAAAATGAAGAACCAAACTTCCAACACTGATTATTTCATAGCAAGGAAAAAATGATATAAATCAGATTTTTGCCAAATTATTCCTTTAAAAGCAAAAATCAACCACTCCTTGATGTGGCAGGCTGCAGATTCGATGGCAGCGCTCACCTTGGGATTGTTGGCATCAAAAAGCCCGGTGGAGAGGCCAATCAGGAGAACGTCATCACGGCGGGTACGCAGAGGGGACACAGAGCGGGAGCGGGACGCCAGAGAGGAAGAGGAGTCTTCCATTGAGGACTGGGCAGAGAGAAGGGATAGTGCCACCGTGCGCCGATGCGCAGGACTGCAGCTCAGCTTCACAAATGCAGCTTCCTCACTCACTGACAGAATAGATAAGCTTTTAGGACTGTGTTGCTCATCTCCCTTTCCTACTAAATCACTCAAAAAACAGTCAATGTATGAAGGCTAAAACTGTATACATTCTAATTTAACAGCTTTCTTTTAAAAGGTGTGTTTGTGTGAGACAAGGAGAGAGGGACAGAAAGAGAAAGAGGATATCAAACTAAGGGACTCATCTGAAGAACTCTACATTCACTGTTAAAGTAAAACTTTAAAAAGAAAAAAAAAAAAGTAAAATAAAAAATAACATTAAACAAATACACAAACTGATTTAGATACTTAAATAGAATATTAACTTAGTTCATTAAATAGTTACATGTCAATCAGTCAGCAGATGAGTTTACCTGCTTGATCAGTCTGCTTCTCTTCCTCTCCATCTACCATCTCCTCACCCTTTGGTTTCTCTGTCAGTGTTACAGCACTCCTCTCTGGCCTGGAACAGTAACGACAAGATTTCCATTGGGTTAGTAACTGTGTACAATTTAATCTTGAAATAGTCATTATTAGACAACACAAATTTCATTACAAATGTTTAGACATTACAAAATCACCCTCACCCAGGCTGTTGAACTTCCTGTTCCCATGCATGAATCACTTTAGCTGGGGATTCTGAAGTTTGCTGTGGGCCATCCTTCAAAACCAAACACTCTACCTCATCTACACCTAAAAGCAAGCACAAAGAAATGAGTGAAACAAACTTATAATACTGGCTAAACTTAAAGTATGGCATTTTTCTGGAATTTTAGCACACTGTCTATTTATATTCTGAGTGTAACATAAAATATAAAATGTGCCATTACTTTTGCACAGGCCATATTTTAGGTTTTTTATGTGATAAATTCAGCATATAAACAGTAATTGTGCATAAAAATGTACAGAACTGTGTTGTACATAAAGGATGTCTTTTAGAATAAAGTTCTAGATTTTTAAATCAACATGCCATGCCATCACATAGATTTGTTCGATTTAATCACCAGCATATAACCAGATATTGGATGATAACTACAAATAATACTGAGCTTCCTCAAGCAGAGGTTTGGAAATAGTTAAACCAGGGGTGTCCAATCTTATCCGCAAAGGGCCGGTGTGGCTGCAGGTTTTCACTCCAACATAGCTGATCAAATGTTTGAAGACTGAGAGGGACTGATTAAACTAGTGGAGTCAAGTGTGCTCCAGCTTATTTGGAGTGAAAACCTGCAGTCACTCCGGCCCTTTGTGGATAAGATTGGATACCCCTGAGTTAAACAAACATACTGACAAAATTACAGCTTACTGTATTAATAATGTTTGCATTTATTCTTATGTTAGTGTTAGTGTTTCCGAGCTAACAAAATCTTACTGCCCAAATAAATAGCCTTTTTTAAATAAATTTCTCAGATGTCTAAAACTTTTGCACAGTAGTGTATATTCTAATTTCATGGTTTTATATCAAGGGTGTGCTTGTGAGAGAGAAAGCGAGAGAGAGAGGATCACCATCACTCTCTTTTTCACCAGGGAGACTCTTTAGTGTCTTCTCTGCTGAGCCTGGCTGTTGCTCGTGACTTCTGAGCTCTGCTGCATCTGAAACAGTCTCCGGAAATTCAGATTGCTGGTCAGGGTGCTGGCCAATGGTAATTTGCTGTTTTTGGTCCTGGCCAATGGCAGCTTCCTGGTCTTGGTCCTTGCCAATGGCAGCTTTGCTTTCTTGGTCTTGGCTAGTGGCAGGATGGCTTGGCTGAGGGGAAGGCCCCAGTGTGGCTCCATCAGTAACATCTGAAGGTCCAGCAGTAGTCTTAAGGCTTTCTGCAGAGACAGCTGCAATACATAAATGAGTAGAATGCAACCAATTTGAGGTCTGAAGCAATGTTAAATGAATCAATGACTCACTGGTGAGCATGTTGTCAGAGATGCTGACGTTATCTAGGTGCTGGGTGATGGGTTGAAGCTCTGCCTCCTCCAAAATTTTCAAAACTTCTGAAACTGGAGTTCTCCCCCATGCTTTCCTGGGCCCCTCCCCTTGCCAGCCTTCCATAGGAATTACCTCACCTGTTGTTTGTTCTGAAGCACAAAATAAAGGCAAGTAGCAGAATCTCAAATACCTGTGTAGTATATTTAAAACAGAGAACTCTAATTCAGTGCACTCAGTGATTTGTTTGGCTTCATCAACCTTGTTGCTATGTTGTGGCTTAAGGGACTATCGTTGTACTAGCAGCAGTCACGCAATACTACACACTCCATGGATACAAGTCAACACACTGGCAAATAAGCCAACCACATACAAGGTGCTCTTGGGGCACATACAAGCTGCAAGTCACAAATTAGGAATGCTGATCTAAAATCTTGAATGGCAAACCATGTAGCAAATCACAGCTCTGCACTGTTTAGAGTCCAAAATGTAACACTTAGGTTTGTAAAAATGGAAACACACTGAAAGTGCTGTAGTGTGCCACCTTCAAGTATGAACGCACCTGCTGTAGCAAGACTGGTGTCTTGCAAGGTTTGGTGAGCTACAGAGAGTGGAGCAGCTCCAGCCTGCCACTTCCTCCTGTCTGCACCAGAGGGAGCACTTGCCTCTGGAGACACGGCCTGAGACACTGGCCAGGAAAGGCAAAAAAGGAAGAAAGGAATGAAGGATTGATAGCAATCTGGCACCAAAATTGCTTCTGCCAAAAATGGCCAAAAATGACACTGATTTTTGTCTGAAGGAATTAAAATGCCAAATAAGTTGACAGAAGAAGTTAAGCCATTTCCAAAATTAAACAGGCCTATGACAAAGCGTTAAACCCTACGAATCATTTCAATGGTTATAAGACAATTAACAATTCCACCAGACAATCAATCAAAGACACAATCAATGCTGTGAATCCAAAAGATCAGGCAGCAGTCAAGAAGCTGTCATTGAGAAAAGGAAATACAAAAAATTTGCACTAGAACACCAAAACTAGACATCTGAGATGTGGAGTAAGATTTTATGCATTGTTGATTCAAAATTTGTATTTGGGATTACTTGGATTAGAATCTTAAAAATATTATTTATATTTTATTATAATTAACAGTTGAGGTTTCCCTGTAATTTTCTGTTAAATACATATGTCCTACTTTTCCTGACAAGAAAAGGGAGGTCTTGTACTTTAATTGTAGAAGCAAAAGGTAAATTAAAAAACCTCACTACAAATAGACTTGTTATTCAAGTTCAACCTTTGGAATGCTTTCTGTTGGTACCTGCCATAGTGCTACAGGTGTCCTCCAGAGTCTGCTGGGCTACTGAGAGTATGGGTGGATCTCCAGCTTCCCACCTTCGCCTATCACCCCTAGTGGGTGGTCTCTCCTCTGTAACTGGCTGGCTAGTCTGAGGGATAGGGCCTGGCACAACAGTGGGTGTCACCTCTCCCTCATGTTCCTCCTTAGAAGTTTGAGCCTTCAGGTTCTGATTTAATCTGCGCAAAATTTCCTTCCTCTCGTTCTGAAATCATCAACATCAAGCTTTGAGCACTCCTCAGAAATAGGTATACCTATTAGAGCTTAACATGTTTGCATTTTAGGCCAGGTCATCTGAACAGGAATCAACAAACAGGACAAAATGGGATGATGTTCTTTCATAGTGAAATTAACAATAATGGAGATTCTTAAAGGAATAAAATAAACAGGTTTTAACACTGTCATTTAGGTTACCCACCTGAACAGCTGTTGTCTCTGTTTCTGGGGGCTCCTCTTTCATTGGAGAATTCTGCAGGGAAGCAATCTACAAGACAGGACAAGGTCATTTAGATCTAAACAGACTTAACAGATCATTAAATTTATTCATTTATTTTTATTATTATAAATTTATTATACAAAATCTATTTTTTTTTTACTTTTATGGTAGATACTTTTTAATGTTCATTCAGAAACAAACTACAATTTAACTAATAACCAATTTTAATACTGGTTAATGATGTGATAAATTTGAAGACTAACCGCGCCCACGTCCTTTAATGCTGCCGTCATGGAGATGGCTGGAGTGATGGGTCTGCAGGACGGTGTGGCTTTAGTGACCACATCCTGAGAAGTGGTCTCAGGAAGAGGAGACGGCACAGGTGAAGGTGCGGCTGCATTTGGAGGTCCTATGGCAACCTTTACACCTCGAGCAGCTAGCTGTCTCAAAACAGTTCAAACAGATTTATTAACAGATACATTTATGGTCAAATGAATATTTTGTAAGAAAGGTTGAGATAGACAGGGGTGTCTTAACACACATGATCTTCCCATGCTCTCTTTTCTCTCTCATAAGCTTCTCTCCTTTTCTTTTCCAGTTGCTCCTTTAGCACTGCTGCACGGGCCTTCGATTGGGCCTGCCACACATTCAAACATGGACACAGTCACTAATACTGAAAGACCCATAAAGCAATAAGCACTTACGAGTAGTTGGAAGAAAAAATTTAATCTATAACACACTACTATAAAAACACGTAAATCACAGCAAACAATTTAGCAGCATCTGACCTTCAGAACCTCTATCTTTTTCTTCCTGAGCTCCACTTCCTCGCTGGACTCTTGACTGTCTGAACACTCACTGTCATACTGAAAAACAAACATCCACACAGCTTTAGAGTTGCTGGAGAAATGCTGCATCAAAAAGAAAAAAAACCCAAAAAACAAAACAAAAAAAACAAAAAACAAAACAAAACAAAAAAAACCTGCATGGGGTTTCTTATAAGATTTTTAAATGATATCACAAAATAACTATTAAATGAAGTAAGAAGAAACAAAGCTTCTTTAATCAATCACTCAACAAACGTGTCTGTGAATGCTATAATCACAGAGGTTGCTCGTATGTGGTCACATGCACCTTCTCTCCTCTGAGACGAGCTTTGATCTGCTGACGCTCATTAAAGTTCTGCAGTCTGATCTGCCTCAGTCGAGCCAAGTACTCCTGCAAATCACACACACACATTGTATAAGTACAAAAATAATATCTATGTAGGTCATGCACGCAAATAAACAAGACACACTTACAAAACATCCTCACAAATTTAAATAAAAATATTTAAATAAAATGACAGAGAACATACACACATTCAAATAAAATTAAAAATGTGTGATATCTTGACAAAAACAACCAAAAGGATTGATTTAGCCAAAAAAAAAACAAATTACAACTTATACATGCACTTCTTTAAAAAACAAACCAACCAAACAAGCAAGCAAAAAAAACAAACAAAAAAACAAAACAAAACACAAAACAAACAAAAAAAAAACAAAACAAAAAAAACACCACAACTGCTGCTAGACAATAAGAGAGGCCCATCTCACAAAGCATGTTTAACTTGGACATCTGAACCCAACCTGACCCAGAGCAGGTTAGGAGAGCAGCATAACCATGGTGCACTCCTAACCAGTAAAAACTGATCTACTGTCACAACACAAAAAAAATCCAGGGTTGACCAAACGAAGCTCAAAGTTAAGCAAGAAATCCTGCTTCATGAGACAGGCCCCTGACCACATGGAAAACATGTACATTTCAGCAGTGAACGTTGTGAAGGGAGGAATTAAGATGGCAGTGCAACACACTGCAGGAGGGCTAGGAGACATGTTCAAGCTCATAAGCTGTCCTATCCAAAACAGCACAAAAGATGTTCCAGATGCATGGAAAAGCAGGATTACACCAACAAAATAGCATGTGCCAACCAATAAATAACTTTCTGAGGACTGTGTTAATGACATAGCTTTTTTTCTGTGTGTGAATGAAACATTAACACCATCATGCAGGGGCATGAAGCGACCATCCAGTGGCACTGTGAGTTACAGCACGAGACGGACAAGGAGGAAATGGAAACAAAAATAAAAAAAAAACGAATGGAGGTTCAGCAGCAACAAGTAGATTTTAAAAAATGGGTTGAGGAGGAGTGCTTTGTCTTATCCATCCTCCTACCTCCTCTTCTTTGTTGACCCGTGGCCTCCTGCATCGGGAAGAACTTGTCCGATTCGCAAAGATGGTGGCCAGGTTTTGCCGGGCCCCCTGTTTACCATTCAATTCAACAATCGCAACATTACAGAACTCAGACAATCCAAAATAGTGCCAATATCTAGGCTTCTGTTTTATAGAGAAAGAGCTCTTACCAGCTGGCCTTCAGCACGAACTTTATTAAGCAAGGCTTCTCGCTTCCGCTGCAGGAACTCCTCCACCTGTTTGGCCCTCTCTGCCGCTAGCTGAGCTCGAAACCTGAATAAATGATTATGGAGGTACAAAAGAAATCCCCATTATGATAAGCCCAACACAGGCTTACACAGCAGTGATGAAATCCAATTAGTGCCTAATGAGCAGAGATATGAAGGGGTCTTAACCAAACCTGTTAGCGTAGTCATTTTTAGACATTGTCTCGGTTTGGAGACTTGTCCTTCGTGGCTCTTTTTTGACAGATTCCTTACTCGGGCGGCAAGCATGACCATTTGCCAAGCCAGGGTCTCCTGCAGCCCTATGTGAAACAAAAAGCATTATAAATATATAATTGTTCATTTAAATGTAAAAAATTAACCATATCGATTTAACAATAAACAACATCAAAACCACACAAACCTGCCCAGAAAGACCCCACAGGGGCTTGAGCTCAGCCCTTTTGCCCTTAGACTGTACAAGTACCTCTCTTATCAACATGTACAAAAATTGTGTTTACTATGGCCTTTGCCATTGTTGAAGATCCACTTTGGTTTGGGTTCCACTAGCTTCTTCAATCTCAGGCACCCCTTCTGGTGCAACACCAGAGCAGTGCAGTAATTCAGACCTGACATTGGTGCATGCATCACAACAGCTTTGGAAATCCCAAAACTGCCAATAATGTCTCTTTAAAAAGCATCACATTCCATTATGTGGTTATTGTAAACAACAAAACATGTAACGAGCCAGTAAGGGGCACTAATAATGTGCTAAACTATCTGTGCAGGAGCTGTTAGAGAAACCTGCTTCAAGAGAGTTATTACTCAATTTCTCACTTTTTATAGCAGTCAGATAGAGTACAGCCTCGAAAATGGGAGAGTGCCAGTTCCATACCCGAGACCACTCTCACATCAGCACGTAAATGCATTATTTTACGCTGCCTGTAAGAGCCTTTGGGCAAGGATCTTACAGCACTACATTTGCCTTGGTCTGACACATAATTATATTGTCTCTCTGGATAGAAGTGCATGCCATATGCTGCAAATCAGGGAGGACCCTCAGGGTCTTCTAGATCACAAGGATTTCTGGGAATTAAAAAAAAAATCCATATCTGCTCATTTCATCTTCAATAGAATCATGAATCATTCAATCATGCTTTTACTTAAACTCTACAAGTATTACAGTTCTAAGGAGGACCCTTGTTTTATTGTTAAGTTTTGAATGAAAACAAAAGGGTTAAATTCTTGAAAAAAAGGGCCAATAAGGAATTGTTTTTTTTTCTGTGGTATCTAGGTAAATATAGCCAAACAAGCTCTCCTACTGGTAAGGACATCAACAGTTGAAGAGAAGCCCTAACACCTTAGTGGTTTTCCACCTGTAGACTGCAACCCCTGTGGGCCGTGGTGATACTTCAGTGTTTTGGATGCAAAAATGTGTCACAATACAAAACATTTAACCAGACATAATTTTAAATACGACAAATGTGATTATTAGCAAAAACAAAATTATAAAATAATATTTTTAGTGCAGAAGGAAATGAAGTTAATTTAGTGTCAGGCTTGAGAACTGCTCTGTGCTGTTTGCTCTGGGGTCTTCTCAAATAAAGCTTTGAAACCTGATAACTTACACCATCACCTGGACACTAAACATAGCGAATAGGTATCAAAACTTTTAGAACCGAGCCAGGAATCTGTTAGCAGCTTTCCTTTCTTTAGTGGGACATCCAGCGCTCATCAGCTGCCAAATCGGCCTTCTCATTTAAAACCATCTGATCGCTTAAATTTGTGGTCATTTGCGTGGGCCACAAATTGCAAAAATTTTGTTAACCCTTGATGCAGAGCAAGGACTGTTTTTCTGTTCATTAAGGTTTTGTGGATATTCAATAACTTTCCAGTTACAATAAAACAGAGGCATCGCAATTGACTGGTCTTGACAACAAATTCTGAGTCCACCTTACCCTGAGACTGTGACAAGAATGGGTCCGAATTAGGTCGCAACCAAGATCGCTAATTTATGGTCTCAAAATCAGTCTCAAAAACATGACTGCACTCAAGTACTATAACACTACAGCCCAGTTTTGATTTTCAATATATGGGACCATTTCAGAGAGAAAAAACACATCTTGATACATCACTGACTACACACAAGCATCAGCCTAATTCCAATATATAGGTTAAGAACAGGTGCTGCTTCTGTACCTAATTCGGCAATGGTGCCTGAGCCAGCCTATATATGCTGAGCGGGTCAGCTTGCCATTTGTGAACTGTATGAACAATGAAGAAATACAGATCAATGCTACAGAGGCAAGGCTGGCCTCCTGGTCCTGGTTTTAAAGAAAGACAGGTCCAAAAATTCTAAATGTCTTTTAGAGGCTTCAGATTTCTGTGTTTCATCTAGAACTGCCAAGAAAAGTTCATGCGAATCGTTGTTAGCTTAGCGCTAGCAAACTACCAGAATCCCAAAAGGAATGCTGGCAGAAGTAAGCATTATTGTTTTGGTTTTTGCTTCATGGTTTAACATTTAAGCCGCGAACCGAAGGCCTAGCTCATTTGGCCAGTGCTGTAAATTAAATTTACAAAATTTATTCATGTTACCCCAGGAGCAGCTTAATGACATGAACAAATAGGTTAAGCCTTTTACACCTCTATAAATCCACACAACTATCTTACGGGTTCTATTCTACGCACAGACATAAGTATACAATGTTCATGAGTTAAACATTTTGCTTTCAACGGAGCCGTCAGCTTGCATTATATATAAACAGTCCTGATACCATTAGCCTTTGTGATGTCGTCACATGTGAATCCTGGGTTTTAAATCTTTGAATTGAATTGGAACAACTGATTCATTTTGCTTGAATGTATCAAATGATTCATCACTCTAGCCACCGATCCCTCTTTTACTCATCTTACCGTACTGGGCTGACATCTCCTGATGCTTTGGGTCCCTCTTTAGGAGCAGGGGCTGGACATGGCAGTGGAGGTGGGACATGGGCAGGGCCAGGTAGAGGAGAGGGGCCTGGTGCAGGTGCAGGTGGGGCTCCCATGCCTCCACCCCCATAAAACTACCAGATTAGGAAATAAGTTAATAGGCAAATAGACACAGATATAAACAGAGGTCTTGCACAGTTTAAACATCTTAAGACTGGCTTCCATTATTCATGCCTCTTCATTTACAAAGCAAATGATTATAACCTAAAACTGGTGTAGCAGATGACAATGAGTACCTTCCTCTCTGGGCTGCTGCCCCCACTGGAACTTAAAACGTGCCTCCAGCCTTGCTCCCGTGCACGGTTGATCTGGTTTAGCTGAGGCGAGTTCAATTTTAATGTCGGTTAACATAAATCAGGGGTATATACTAAGAAGTATAATACATATAGTATATAGCATATAATATAATAACTATAATATGAAATGTTAGATGTATATGAATATAATCACCTTTTCCCTCTCAAATCTTTTTACTTGAGCAGCTTTCAGAATCAACATCTGCAAAAAACAAAGATTCATGGAGATGCTTTCAATGGTAGCCAAAGATGAATTCCAAGCTACACCACAGCAAAATCACAGGCAAGCAGAATACTAGAGGCTTCAAGGATAAAAGCCCACCTGCTCTCTCTGTTTCCTCTGTTTCTCCAACACCTCCATTTGTTTCTTCCTCACTCCTTCCTGGCAGCAGAACACAAAAGAGAGATTACAATATCTTTCAAGCTCAACTGAATGATTTCTTACTGCATTTTACCACTTACCAAAAAGCTTGCACTGCTTTATTGTACTAATAAAAATGAATCACAACTAATTCTTTACCCAAATCCAGACTAGGCTTATTCAATAATGCTGTATGAAATACACTACATGGCCAAAAGTATGTGGGCACCCTTCCTAATTATTGAGTTTAGGTGTTTCAGCCCCACTGCTAACAACGGTATAAAATCAAGAACATAGCCATCTCCACAGAGATACACTGGCAGTCTAATGGGTCATACTGAAGAGCTCAGAGAGTTTAAATGTGGCACTGTCATAGGATGCCACCTCTGCCATAAGGCAGCTCACGAATTTCTCCTCTGCTAGATCTGCCCTGGTCAACTGCAAGTTCTAGCACTGTAAAACAGAGGCAAGTCTCAGCCATAAGCAGTAGATCACAGAGCAGGGGTCACTGAGTGCTGAAGCATGTAGCATGTAAAAATCTTCTGTTTTATCACTCAGTACTAGTTCCAGAGAGCCTCTGAAAACAACATCAGCACAAGAACTGAGCGTTGAGAGCTTCATGAAATGGGTTTCCATGGCTGAGCAGCTGCAAACAAGCCTAGGATTACTCTACATAATACAAAGTATTAGCTGTGCTGATATAAAGTGATGTAAAGCTTGCCACCACTGGACTCTGGAGCTGTGGAAACATATTCTCTGGAATGATGAATCACACTTCACTATCTGACAGTCGGATGGATAAATTTGAGTTTGGGATGACAGCAGAATGCTATTCACCACAATGTACAGTGCCAACACTAAAGTTTGGTGGAGGAGGGATAATGTTTTTCAGGGTTTGGGCTCAGCCCTTTAATTCCAGGGAACAGGCTGTACAAGCTGCAAAGGGGGGCATTTTAATTTCTTAATAATTTTGGAATGGGATATCCTACAAGCTCATATAGGTGTTATGGTCAGGTGTCCACAAAGTTTTGGCTATATAGTGTAAATCAGTTCATAAATATACAGAACATAAATTAACATTTTAAACCTAATAAAGAAATGTATAACAGAAATGGAACACTTCATGTAGTATCATTCAAAGTACATATAAAAACAAAAACAATCAAAAATCTTCAACAGTTCAAAATCCAGGTGAAACAGGTATAGGTGCAGGACCTAAAAGGACCTCTAAAAGAAAGAGGAGGGGGGGGATTTGGAAGGCCCACTGCTTCAGCAGTGAAGCAGGAGGAAACCACAAAGTGAATAGTAAGAGGACATTTTGCTGTCCTATTAGGGTAAAATGAGTATAATGAAAAATGATTCTAAGGGTAAAGGGTAGGGTAATAGGAAATGAATGTGCACAGAAGCTTAAGAGAGCATGAAATCCACGTTTGCAGGAAGCAGCCACCTTAGAACTTCAGATTCACTGACCTTCAAGCTGTATCCACAAGTATACACAAAGTTAATTTGCCGATACGCCATTTCAGCTTTTGGCAAATACTGCTTGAATATCATACTGCACAATGTCTTAAGTAATAACTTGCACTTAATGGTTGTTTTGACTTAAATAAATGCAGGGCTGGTCTTTGACTTATGCATAGTCCTCCACAGGAAACTTAGCTCAGAAACATCCTGAGTTCAGCTTCAGGCAAAAATCCTCATGTAAGGGGGTGGATCATTACTATATTGCACACATTAGTGAAAAGAGGGTTCAGAGGACATAGGTTCAGAAGAGGGTTGTCAAAAAGTGAGTTAAAAGGAGTAAGGAGAGGAGGTTGGGTGTGTTAGTACAGGGGGACTGCCAGTAGGGGGCACTCTCAGGAGTACCTCATGCTTCCTCCTCTCCTCCTCCACTCGACTCACTCTCCTTTGAACTGCAGCTGGAGGGGGAGCCTGGATGACACATGACATTGTGGGGATCAGACAGTTCTCACACGCTCACGCACATCCTCCCCAAAATGTGAACAGATTCACGTTTATGAACACACACATCGCTCAGTAACACAGATGTTTATGCTCAAATAATTTACCATCAACAATCAATAATGAAGTTAAGAGGTGGTAGTGCTTGTTGCAGAATTCCCACTGTACCAAGGAATACATAAAAGTGGAACAAACGCACATATCTGCATACAGCTAAAATCCTCCTGTGTGTACAAACTGTCTCCAGTCACTAGTGTGCATTACCTGTTTCGGTTTGACCCCAGGTTTTCGATCCACCTGTTTTTTGGCTGCATCAGCCACCTTCCTGCCAGCACAGACAGGTCTCTTTACAGTTAAAGGCACTCCATATTTGGCAGCTGGTTTAGTGATTTTCTGAGAAGGGGTGATGGGGGCTGGACCAGGGGCTGGGCGCTTGGCTAGTGAAACGGAAGATAGGTTATGATTGGTTTAAGAAGATAGAAGTTGAAACACATATCACATTCTCTCTCTCCAGCTAAAGAAATATCTGGTTCAGGATTGGCTTATTCCCTTTCAAGGAACCGACCCCAAAAGTGTTCGTGTGTTTCTTAGGGCTGACCCAAATGATTTAAACACTTCAGTATTCATTCATGTTGGAATTTGGTTCTCTGTTTGGTATTCGGAAGCTGTGGGCCTCATTCACCCACCATTCCTAACAGGAAATTTCTTCTTAAAACCCACATGAGCAGTTTTTGGAAAGATTCTGAAATGTTTTATTTTTTTCTTCTTTGTTCTTAGGAACAGAATCTACACACAAGCAAGAACACAAAGGTGCCAACAATTCTGCACTTTAAGAATGTGTTATGAATCTGATGTTAACTTTTTCTTAGGACCTTTCTCAGAAACAATGTTAAGAAAAAACTCAGGAAGATATTAGTGAATAATGCCCATTGTTTTTATTTCCAGCCAATAATACGTAGTCTAAGCTACATGTTTTATCAGCTAAGGCCTTTGAAAAACAGCTACAGTTAAAAATGGAAAATGTTAAAAATAAAATTCTACCTGGCACAACAGACTGCAGCACTTTCCACATGGCTATTGAAACTAAAAGAGCAGATATGCATCATATATGGAGCACTTTAAATGATCAGACTATAATAAAATGCTCAGTGCACAGTATACCATGCTGACATTACAGCTTTGATGAATCATCTCAAATATGTACACATGGTGATCCTTATCTGAGTTTCGCTCAGCAGACTACTTTCCCCGACATCATGTCTGATTTCAATACAACCGAATCTCTGATAATTCGATGGTGTTCTGATAAGGGCGACGTCAAAGCTGGAGAGCTCCTCAAAGCTCTTGCACCGGCACTAGCTCGCTCTAACTGGCGACACTTTAGGTCACAAACTGAGAGCTACATTTCATTGGTTAGTAGTGATCAGAGTTTCAGTAGTATTGTTGACTTGCAGCCTGTGTACTCTTAACTTGGTCACTGCATTTGAACAATGGGGCTACAATTGCAGATTATATCACAGCAATATACAGCATGCAAGCAGCAAACGAACTGCAGTAACGAACATACATAAAATTATGACGAATTATAAAATGTAAATGGTTTGTTTTAAGGATACTTACCAAAGAGTATTTGTAAAATGCTGTTTGGGCCAGCCCTAGTGTGTGTGAGTGAGAGAGAAAAGTAGTGTGCATACCTGGTACTCCCTGTGCAGCATTCATTTGGGGCTGTTTGAGGAGAAGAGACCGGCTGAATTCCTGAGCAATGAGCTGAAATGGACAAAGAGGACAAGTGACACGTCAAGAGGCCATCATTTACAGTAAACAATTTGGTTTTGCACCAATACCCGGGGCTTAAGCTACGGCTGAACAGTAGCTAGTAACAGCGTAAATGACTAAGACTCACCAAACTCCAGCAGGGTCTAATGGTCATAAAGCGTGAGTGTATGGATGTACATATGAGACAAATGACTTGAGAAATTCAGATGTGAAACAACATTTAGCACTGTTTTTTTAATATATATATATATATATACACATACACACACACACACACACACACGTTGGTATGTAAAAGTTTGAACACCCTGATTAAATTATATGCTGTAATATAAGTTGCTTTTTTTTTTTAACCCATCCTCTACAGTGAACAAACATAAATATGGCATTATTTGCACATTTTAGTGTATGGTCAGTTGTTTATGAGTAGAGTTTTTCTAGTAATGTTTTCAATTGCAAAAACACCAGTTCATGTATTTCAGTTGTATGTATTTCCTAATGCTTAGTTTTAGGCCTGAATTATATGTTGAATCTCGAAGAAAAACAAAAGGCTAATTCTGAACACAACAGAACATAAGTGAAGAGAAGTATCAATAAGAATAAATATTTTCATTCTCCATATGAACACTGAAATTATGTAGCTAGCTAACTCTGCTAACTGGCACACTGATTTGAAATCATAACGGAATGGCCTTACTTCTCAGTTCCTGTCAAGTGAATAAAAGGTAGCAATAAAAGTAGCAGATGTCCAACATTCAAGTCAATGCTGCTCATACTGGCTTCAGGAACAGAACAGCACAACCATTTTATCAAAACTGACTGAAATTGAAAAAATTTAATTTCCACAACAATCATTATTATTTTAGCGCAATACGAACTGGACACCCAGTTAAAGCTATTGTTTCATTTCTGTTTGCATGCATGTGTCTAACCTGTGGAGAAAGAAACTTGTGGATTCTTCGGGCGAGGAAAGGCTTGTCCAGTATGGCGCAGACCGAGGGTCTCTCACGGGGGTTGCGTTTGAACAGCAGGCCCAGGAGTGAGCGCAGGTCCTGAGAGTAGTGCACCGACACTGGGGGATATGAACCACGGATGATCTTCAACACCAGGTTCTTCATGTTCCCAGCCTCAAACTGAGAGCCAAAGATTGCACATACCCACGAAAAAGGGAAAGACAAACAACGCAGAGACCAAAACACTTCAATATGTGATCATAGTCATTTCATTTTTTAAAACAAATGCAATTAATTTAGGTCAAGCATCAAGAAAGCTTGTCAACTATTATCTCTGTGCACTCTTATCTCTCTTGCCGTTTCAGTCTGACACACTCCATGACTACATCAGTAATTACTAAAGCCTTGAGAGCTGAGCAGTGAGAACTCCTGATCCTCCCACTGTCAGAAAGGGTGTTAGAAGCAAGTCTGTTACACTCCAATATGCCAGTTTCACAATATGGGAAAACAGCACTGAACGACAGAACTGTTCTCTGTGGATAATCAATATTAATGCAGCATGTAAAGAATGAAACTGAGAAAGTGTGGGGTACAGAAGCAGGAAAAAGGTTTGCAGCCTGAAAAGCGGGCAAAGCATAGAAGTAGCTTCACTTACCAGACACAACAAATTCACAATAGCAAACAAAGACAAGGACTGGAATACAAGGGCTACGTGGTACTTACGGCATGCTTAAGCGTGCACATTTCATACAGGACACATCCCAAGGCCCAAATATCACTAACGGACAGAAAGAGACAAGGGGGGAGGGGGGATGGGCAGAAAGACAGGATTAAAACTGCTGGGAAATCTGCATTGGGCACATTAAACACTCATAGATGCCACAAGGTAAATTGTGTCAGTAGGTGACTCTTAAACGTCACTGGTAACAATGCTACCTAAATAAATTGTCAGGCAGAGACAAAAGTCTGCACTATTTGCTTACAGTGACCATGTGATTATGTATAATCATACACAAAAATACTGCATTGTTCTGCAAATTTTAGTGTTAATGTTTTTAATTTGTTGTTGAAGCTAATATAGTGGGGCGGGGGTCTTGACTTTTCAAAAACACCGCAGCACTAAGACTACTTGTGCTCTCAAAAGTGAATTCAACCTGATTTGTCAAAACATCTGCATAATTCAGCTGTTGAGATGCAAACAATGTAATTAAGAATAGTCTGATGCAAAATAGTGCATTGTAGAGAAATATACAGACTCAGTGGTGGTGATATGAGCCACGGTTAATGATGTCTGTGACACTAATATAGCTATTTTAGTTATGATACAAAATGAACCTACATGGACTTCTTACAGCTTTTATATGTGATGTTGATAACAGTAAAATACCGGTAAATCTAAATAAATGTTTTCTTTAGGTACTATTCACCTTTCAATGTCCTATATGTACCTCTCTGCCCTGTATGTACTTTACAAAAAAAAACAATTTACGCCTGTGAGGAGGCGTTAAACACAGCAGATGTCTGGTTCCATCACCACTGCTGTGAACAATTCTGACTCTATAGAATTCTGATTGTACCAAAAACCACTCTGAATGGTTTTGTTCAAATGATTGAATTAGGCAGAAATTTTGAAAAATTGAATTCCCCTTTATGAATCTGTTGGTTATTAGCCTTAATAACCCCAACACAACATTATAATCAGAAGTTGATGACGATTATACAGAAACTTGGGAACAAATCCTTACTGACAGCAGGACCTCATAGGAAATGCTAAACATTCATTATACTGTGAATACATGTGACGCAGGGCACCACTTGAGGATCCATCAACAGGCGATCAATAGCAGTGAAGGGACTTGTGGGTCAGGATGACTGGGTTACACTGAGCAGAGGAATAAAGAGTTCAGAGAGGGTCGATATGGAACTGATGCTCCAGATACACAGTGAGCGCCAATATGATATCATTACCCAACTCAACGGTCAGCATAATGACTCAGCATACAGTAAATGCGTGTATATTCAGGATGTGCCGTTTACAGGCCTATTAAATGCCCAAAAATGTGACATCACATAAAGACACACTCCCCGAAGTTTTCCGACAGCCTACCTTTTGTTGTTGTATGGTTTATTTTCACAAATCTCAGGGGAAAGATAGTAAGGCGTGCCTATGCAGGTCCTGGCCAACTCCACAGTACTGCACATAGACAACATCAGGCACTTCAACTTCAAGAACTGTCCATAAAAAAAACTTTTTCGATAAAGCGTTCTCATACAAGTTATTGGATTCAAACTGAAACAAACATACAATGATTTATTACCTGTTTAACACTCTGGCGATCCCAAAGTCCCCCAGCTGTATTGTTCCATCCTTAGTCAAAAAGATATTCTAGAAAGAGAAGACAATATTAAGGATAACTAATACACAAACTGACATGAAAAGCAACAAAAATTTGTCAACAACCGTGTGCACGTGTCTGAACAGTACCTGAGACTTAATATCCCTGTGCAAGATCTTGCGATCATGTACATGTTTGAGAGCTAGGCATATCTGCACAAACCAGTCAAGTATCTGCAAGAGAGAAAGAATGCTGAAAACAAACACCCAAAACTGACATGTTATTGTGTTCATTGAATGAGTTGCTGTTCTGTTTCTGCCAATGATTTGGACCTAATTCAAACATAAATAAAAGGTTCATTCTGTTAAGGGGGAATTTCACTAATGTTTCAAAATTTCTGTACTGTTCAATTGTTGATGTGTATAAAGTCATCCAAAGCGGTTTGATGTTAAACTGTACATTGCAGAGAAACATATTAATTTGGATTTCTTCACAACAAACATAACAGGAATTTTATTCACCACTTAAACAACCAGTTAACCTACGCATGAGTTTTAACATGCAATGTTAATAATGGTAAAATGATGGAAAATCTGAAAAAATACATTTTCTTTGGGTACTTTTTTGCCTTGCAACACTCCTCCACAAATGGATTTAAAAAAAAAAAAACAACTTTTAAATAATGACTGAATTATCGCAGAATTTTTGAAAACTCTGGAATTCCCTTTTATGCTTCTATTGGTCTTTGGCCTTAAGCTAAACTTAATAACTTATTCAGTGATAAATCTGAGGAGAGTGCCCTGGCACTGTATTTAGACTACAGTATGTTTAGTACTCCAAGCTGGGTTCTATGGTGGTGAACGGAAGTGCAATCAGACTGGACTGCTGCGTGTTGAGTTTGGTACTGGATCAGAGGTGGTACACTGGACTCATTTTGAGTGCTCTACTCACTTGCTCCTCAGGGAATATAACTCCTTTCTGATTGTTGATCTTCTTAAACAGGTCACCTCCTTCACAGTAGTCCATTACTATATACAAGCAGCCGCCCTCTGCGTAGAAGCAAATAGTGAGCAAGGCAGGAGAGAAAAGACTATTTTTAATAAAACATTAACATGAACACCTCCTGGCATGGTTTAAGTACCTCCTTGACATTTGTAGTTACATTCATCTGTAACTGATGATGTACTGCCTCATCACCACCATTAACAACAGTGCTCTCTTTTCTCTCTTTCATGCTGTTGCACAGCTTAATGAGGAGAAACAAGGCATTAGCTCATGCAGATCCTCTCTACAATTCAATTTAAAGGCTTGCAGCTTCCTCCATCACTCAAGCATCGCCTGACTGTCAAACAGAGTGCGCCATCTCGGGACCAAAAACGCAGGAGGGCTAGCTTCTCCTTTTGATCATCTCAGTCTTTGCAAGCAAGATTTTTTCTCTAAATTCTCATTCATTCTGACATTTTAATGGAATGACATGCATGTCAATGTGACAAGCTAAGAACTGCGACTGAGCAAAATGAAGCACTCCACTCATTAACAAGGCGAATGTTTGCTTTCAAACAAGATCTATGGGCAAAGGGAAGGGAACATTTCAGAGGATACAATACTGGGACTAGCCATCTGCACTCAGTTAACCCCTCAAGGCATTCAGTAAGTTTCATCACATGAAGACATTATGTTTCAAAGGAAGACAAGAGAAAATACAGAGGAAAACAATTAAGTGAAACGTCCATTTTTTTGAGAAAAAATTTGATTGCGATGTCAGAAATAGGGTGTTTTTTTCTCTAGGCTAACAAATCTAGCTAGGTCCAGAAACAATGAAAAGATACTTCTCTAACAAACTAACATGCTGGCACATTGTGCACTGAGAAGCAAAGCGAATTTTCTCCCTGTAGAAAAACGATTTCTCTCAGGTACTTTTTAATAATAAAACACGGTTTTCAGTGTGTTTCTCTGTGTTAGGCCTCTCACAATTAGTACATGATAACCTATTAAAAACTATTTGGGCTGATCACAATTATTTAAGCTGACTGATCACTGTCCACATTAGATTTCAGAAATATTATTAAGTTGCAATAAACAAAATGTAAATTAAGTGTAGTAGGTTCAGACAAAGACATTAAAAGACATTCACGTGAGAGCGTGTGCGCACACCCAACAGTGTAGTGTACCAATTCGACAGCATTACTAGTTACTATCTAGTAAACATTGCTAGGAAGCAACCCACTTTGGCCACTTTTGACTTGCACCCTAACAGATGTTCAAGAAAAAAAACAAAAAAAACAATTAAATTGCAAATATTTATATGACAATTAATTGTCAGCTAAAATTTCATGTTTGTGGACAGTCCTCTTCTGTGTGCTGCAAAATTTTTTGTGCAACACAAGTGCGGTCACCCAAAAGAGTAAACCTACAGGCCTACAGTAATCTCCAACCATTTTTTGTGTTTTCCATCCCATTTCATAGTCACTCATTAACTTTTACAAATACAAAAATACCAAAATCAGTCTGAATGTACATCACAAATAGGAACTAAGCTAAGCTTTGGAAAGGAAATAGGAAGTATGTGGTCCACAGTCATTTAGTCACAGAAACTCTTCATTTGGAAAACTGACACTGACTTTGGCTGACAACAAATAAAGGATGTTACCTTCAAAGGACTCCTTGTACTGAACAATGTTGGGATGGCTCATGTTAGCGAGGACTGCCACTTCTCTGCGTGACTCCTGTCTCTCTTTATTAGACATCTGTGGAGAGAGACAGCAGTGTGAGTGTTGGTATTAATGAAGTAGACACTTTACAACCAACTTACCCTTAAAAAAAACAAAAAAAAACCCAAAAAAAAAAACACATTCTACATTTTTGGAAACAACATTAAAAGCTTACCCTGGAGATGCCAATCTCCTTAATGACGTACTGATGGCCATCTTCCCTGGACCTGACCAGGATGGCTTTTCCAAAGGAGCCCTCCCCAATCTTTTTCACCTTCTCATATTTATCCATGTCTGACCCGATCCCACATGCTGTGCCTGCAAATATAAATGAGTTACAAACCCTAAATTCAACAATGCATTTGGAGCTGCATCAGACATGCAGTTAAAGAAATACTACTGCATTTTTAAATCTAATGTCTTTCTGCCACATCTGTAGCATATGGTTGAATAGCCCAGTTGCTTCAGCACTTACCAACTGGCTTCTAGTACGATAAGTTTTGAATTAACTTAAACATTAGAGTATTCCTTTATGACAATAAATTATTTAATTTATTGGATTCTGTTCCAATATAGACTGAATATGCTTGCTTTTCAGCAAGTCTTTTCTAAGCATACAAATCTGAATAAGTTAAAAAAAAGAAAAAAAAAGATATGAAATGAATTTGATTATAACACGGTAAATTTACAGTTTTGCAACCTAAATCTCACTTCCTGATATCATAATTAATACATGTTTGATTTTGTCTGTTAGTGTGATTTGTGCAGTATGGTTTATGAATCAGCACATCACTCATTAAGTGTCCCAGAGGTGTGCCCTGCAGAAGAGCACTGGCACCTCCTACAGAGTCTGAGGTTAAATATAGACATCCAGCAGACTCCCTGATAGCACCTCATTACATTTTCCATCTGGTCTTTGCAGTGACCAGAGCAGCCCAGAGCTTTAAATATTATCTTGATCTACAAAAGGTAACAAGGATGTGCCATCTGTCATAAAAGCCGCATGTTTTTGGAAGGAATAAAACAGACATCCAAAAAACGAGAGAAGCAGGCACTGTGCAAGGGGGTTGCTGAATTAAAGATGATGTGTCAGAAAGAATTATCTAATGCCCTTTTATCCCCTAACTTATAAAGACAGAGAGAGAGTAAGAGAGTTAGAGAGAAAGAGAAAGAGAGAGAGAGAGAGAGAGAGAGAGAGAGAGAGAGAGAGAGAGATGTAGAAAGCATCTATTTTTTTTAATGCTACCTGCAAATGACAGTGCAACAAAGGCTTTTTAATTGCGACTATATTAAATAATCTGTTGAGCAAATACGACACACAGAGTGCATAAGAGGTGAGCAGAGATTTCTCCACACAAAGCTGCTCAAAGCTGTGTTGATAAATGAAATTGGGACATTTGGACTCTTATTAGGACAAGAGTTCCAATGTAGTTAGGACAAGGCTAAAGTTGGCTTTCTATTCGCCAGCTTCTTGCTGTAATTCTCCCGTTTCACCTTAAATGGTGCAGCAGTTGCGTTCAGGCCCAATGTATCCTGAAACGCCAGCATGTAACTGCTGCACCGTTTAAGGTGGAACGGGAAAATGCGAATAAGAAACTAACGTCAGCTTCGTGTACTTAGATGTCGTGGTCCAACTGCAGAATGATATTGGACAACACATTGAAAAATAAATTATTGTCTCGATAGCCTAAATGTTAAATCGTAAACCCGACGGCCTGATGATAAAATGACATCTTAATAAGTCAGACCACTTCAGATTTTTAGCTGATGGCACGTTTCAGAACCAAAGCGTGGAATCAGCTAACAAGGAGCATCAGTCACTACCTAACTAACGTTTGCTAGCCAGAGCACTAAAATGGCTGCTTATTACATTTTTTGCAAACACCACAGTTCAAGACAAACAGCCAATGAACAACCTACGTAACCGCTCCTTTTATAAGACGCCTTTACAATAATAAAATGTAAGAAATCAGCAGTGTTTTACCTCACAGCCTTTAGCGTGGAGAAGCTCGCGCTGTCCCAAACCGCCAGCTTCAGTTTTTTGACTCTTCTGCTCCTGAAGAGCGCTCAACCAAACTACCTCTGTTACGTGACGTGTGCGCGGAATACAGCCGTCTCATTGGCCAAACGCTCTGTTCCTGCACTGCGATAGGCTTACTGACCTGCCAATCACAATAAAAGCGGATTAATGTTCGTCTGTCAATGTTTGGTGGGAAATTTCTCCTAGCAACCGTCACCGGCTGGTACACGGCGGGACGTGTGAGGCTGAACCAAAGACATACGGCTGAACTCTGCGGACTGCGTTACAGATCGATACTGACACACACACACACACACACACACACACATACACACACACACACACACACACACACAGAGAGACCTGATTCGTAAATTATTTATATAGACGCCACTGAAAGTGGGCATCGAGAGCCAGTGGGATTCGGAACAATTAAACAAACATGAAAAGTACGGAGACCCATTTGACGTCTAAATTTCGGTCAGAAAGTCTTAAAGGGGAACTCCATCAATTTTTCAAAATTTCTGAATAGGGTATATGGTTTACATGTCAACAAAGTCAGTCAGAGTGGTTTGGTGTGAAATGTGCTGTTCTAGAAAAACTTACAGTGTCAGAATTGTTTACAGTTGTGGTCATTGGAGGAGTATGAGAAGTTTAATGTTCCTTAAAGCTCCCTCACAGAAAGTTTGGCATGAAATGGTTGAGACTATCTAAAATTCACACAATGACTAAAACTAAAATACATTTTTGACCAAAACTGTATCACAAAACTACTGTAAAACAACATTTAAGGGTTTAAGTATGACAGTGATTTAAGGCCACTGGTAATAAAACCATAAAACTAGTAGACTTCAAGACTAAAGTTGTAATATTTCGAGAAAAAAGTCGTACTATTTTGAAAATAATGTAATATTTCGAGGATAAACTGGGCTAACTCTAGGGGGGCTGCCATAATGCGTTGGGGTCTTGTTGCTGTACTGGTGCCAGAGTTCCACACACTCCTGTCTCCTTGTGGATCGATCATTTTGATTATTATTCTGATTATTTGTGAAACTAAATGCCCTCTTTGAATGGCAGGGAGATGTAGCCACTGATAGCCGTGTAGACGACCCTGCCTGAGATTCTCCTGCAACATAACAGACAGACAGTTTCCTCAGAGTCCGTCTGTTTCTTTATTCTAGATAAACACAGTTTCTTGCTCAGCCGCTTTAGCTGTTCCTTATACTAATAACAATCTGGCGCTGATGTGTCAGGAGAGACAGACTGAGTATTTCTTTATGGGTGAAATCGATATGAAAGTATATCTCCACCAACTCCTCACCGCCCCTCATTTTAACACGAAGAGGTGCTGCCTTCCCTTTGCAAACCTTCTGGCCACAATATTGTGACCTTTCCTGGTATTGATGCCACTTTAACGTCGTAATTCTACGACTTTTTTCTCGAAATAATACGACCTTATATATATTATGACCTTATTCTCGAAGTCTATTATTTTTGGTTTTTATTAACAGTGGCCCTAAAACGCTGTTGTATTTAAGGGTTAAAGCCTTGCTTAATGGATTTTCCCACCCAAATATATTATTTTAAAACGGACAAGCCAGCAGCTGGGTTTAAATACTATACATATGGGAGAAAGCACTAGCTAATAAGGTACATAGGTTAATGTTCTTGAACACGGTTAGCACGTTAGCTCGCAGTTAGCACGGATTAGCGCAATAGCTGAGGGCTAGCACGTTAGCTCGTGGTGAGCGTGTTAGCTCAAGGTTTGTGCCTTATCTCGGGTTAGGGCGTTAGCTCCGGGCTAGCGCATTAGCTCGGAGTTAGCATGTTAGCTTGGGGATAGCGTGTCAGCTCTAAGTTAGCACGTTAGTTCGTATTGTCTTGACAGCAATGGCGTGTCCGCTCGTCTGTACACACATCACCCTCCTCTGTAAATCTGTGGAATTAGAAGAAAGCAGTTAAAATCAGTGCTGGGGTTCCGAGGTAATCCGAGGTAACTTTTCCTGGTTCATATGGACATGAATTGTCAGGAGTGCTTTACATTAGTTTTTACTTTAGTAATTGGCTTATTTTGATTATGGGCTTCTGAATGTTTGGTGGAACATTTTTGTTATTTATCATTACAGAGTTTGCAGTTGTGGAGTTCTTGCCTCATTGTTCACTTTCTAAAGTAAAGGTTGGCTCTTTAGGTGAACATTCGGAGCCGACCGGCTTTAAAAAGCCGTGTTTTCTTTACTCAAACAAACGGTTCCGCCCCCTCATTACTCCCAACACCTGCTTTTGAGTTAGTTCCTTCATGGCTCTGTTTCCATAAATGCATTGCTAGTTACTCTGATTTTTGACTTTGACTTGCCGTTTGTTGATGACTGGTTGATGGATTTGCTTGCATTTTTCTCGTGGGCTTGTCCTGACACCATCCTCGCGGAATTCATCTAGGCAAACTATTTATCAACATAGTGACACTGTTTGACACTGTTTGAAACTTACAATGAGAGTGTGAGTTTTGAATAATTTCAGGAGAAATCTCATCACTGACACACAAATTCAGATTTCTGCAGAGGCACAAGGTGAAGAATATTCACGTTTCAGTTTTTAATGAACTTTAATCAGCAGCAGAACATTTCTGTTGTTTTCTGTGCTGTTTATTGGGTTAATTACAGTAACAAGTTTCTTTCTCTAAAAGTTCTTTACACCTCTGTGGGGGAAATAGTCTTTCAAAACACACATCTTGTTTGATATCTCACATTTTATTTAGTTTCCGACAGAAAAACAAAACATTAAAACTGATGTAATCAGCCACTGACCGCAGTTTATTGAGTGACGTCATCCGCGTCACGTTTAGCGGTGACGTCACACTCCAGCCAAGGAAATCCAAGGAAAATGTAAGTGTAAGATCTCATCTTTTTCTTACATAGCTCTATTATCTATCACAGAACTCTTTCAGCGTAGAAGAACTCAGACCTTTCTGATTCATCTGAACTGGAATGCTGATGTTAATCTCTTTTCTCCTGAGGGGGTTCGGAGTAAGAATTCAGAAATCAGTGATCCCTCATTAATGCAATATTAAGATCTGCTTTATTTCTTTGAGAAAATAAGAAGACATTTTTCCCTCTGGGAATAAACTTGAAAATTGAAAGTGAAGTCAATAACTGTGTCTACACAACCCCAATTTACAGTAAAGTTATTTAATAGTCCCAATTTAAAGTATTTTTTAATGAAATCAGCTAGCTTAACCACTAAGGGATGTCAAAGGGGTCAGAAAAGTGCTGGAACACAATGTCAGTCACTCTGGCCAAGGCTAGCTTACTCACTGAGATCATAGCAAAACAATATATTGTTTTAATCTAAACTATCTGTTGTGATTCTTCCAGCCGTTTACAGTGACACATATGTGGGCACACACTCTCATAACTACATTACGTGCAGATTAGTTTCATAACAGTTACTGAAAGATTCATAGCAGTTTCTGAATAATAAGTCTTAAGATTAACAGCTGAACAAAAACACTGAGAAGCCTGATCGTTTCTGCAGAACCCAGAGTTCACTGCATGATCCAGAAGGGTTTTGTGGAGCTTTAATGGACGAGGCCAAGCACTTGAGTAACCTCAAATTTCAGAGTCTGGGAGAAGATGCTCCCTACTGTAAGTACCTTCAGAAACACAGTGAGGCAATGATGTACCACTGCTGACAACCTTCCATTTGAAGGAACAAGAAGACAAGCCACTCATGATCAAAGCTTTATTCTGAAAAGATTCTAAAGCTGTTTTGTTAGAGATGTTCAATAAAACATCTGTGGTAGTGGTTCTCAATGTGGGGGCTGTGGGGCCACTAATGCAGCCACAGAAATATAAGTTCCAGTTTTGTTGGTTTCCTTAAAGGCCTTCACTTTTCACACAAATGAAAATAGCACTAACCACAAATCCTGCCTATTTGCACTCCACCTAGTAAATAATGTGACTAGCACACCAAAAGCTTATTTTTGCTGCCATTTTATACTTTCTATAAACAAAAGCAAGGCAGCATTTATAGAAGCTATGTTCAAAGGAGAAATGGAAAAGATAGTTATTTAATATTAATCAGAAAATAAGAGTGTGATTTTCCATTTACTATGCAATAAATATTACATGTAAAACATCAATTTAACAATAAAAATCACTAAAGGTTAAACAGTGTTATCTAGGACAGTAGAATGGTGCTGGTGTGTATAGTGTAGGGAATAATGAAACTGCGCTCCACTAACTATAATAGTTATTGTTTTTTGTGCTTCACATGGTTCTAAATGCACTGCCCATTATTGTTGTCTTAATTAAAAAAAACAAAATACATTTGATTACCCCTTCAGATCCACTTAAGTTGTTGCCATTAAAATTAAATCTACTTTTAATAATCATGTTGACATAATTTGTATTATGTACATGTACAGGAATAAGCTTGTGCACATAGCAACTTAGAACAAATGCAAGTTGAGAGAGAGTGAGGGTTGCTGGAAAGAATGGCCTCAAGTGTACTTATGATTATAAAAGTGTAAATAGCATCTGCCTTCATAAAATCTTGACTATATCTGAAATGGTGGCAGTTGTTCTTGTTTCACATTTTGCCTGCTATACACTCACTGGCCATCATTAAGTACATCTCTGTGCATTCACTCATTGTCCATATTATCAGCTCTACTTACTATATAGGTGCACTTTGTAGTTCAGCAATTACAGACTGTAGTCCATCTGTTTCTCTGCATACTTTGTTACCCTGTTCTTCAATGGTCAGGACCCCGACAGGACCACCACAGAGCAGGTATTATTTGGGTGGTGGATCATTCTCAGCACTGCAGTGACACTGACGTGGTGGTAGTTTTGGTACACCTGGATCAAACACAGCTGGACAATTTGACAATATTTATTGTTATTGTAATAAATTACTGTGATGTGGTGAGTTTTACACCCCAGCTCACCAGCCCTGATACATTCTAGAGACTGGTATTATAATCATCAGGAGTACGGACATTTAAATAATATAAAATGTTACTTATTCGTATTCCTTTGATGTGCGTCCTTTAGGGGA